AACGAAAAAATAAAAAACTGCGTTTAAAAAACCGACTTCAAAAACAAAAACTAAAAAGCAAAAAATAACTATTATTGGTCATACATACGTACCTACTTACTTACATATAGCTTACACACCCACAGATAGGTGAGAAGTCGGTAAAAATAGGCTAAGAAGTATTAACATCAATTGTGAATGTCTATAGTTACTTAATATAAGACGACCCTACGACTTAGATTGGATACAACCGTAGCAATCCACATCTGGTTATTCGTTATAAATATTCTAATTGATGATTGACAGTCATTGTCTTTTTTCGCAAGGCCAATCCCTATTTTTATTCGATCGAATATTATTTAACTTTCTGTATGGGCATTTCTGTATTATGACGTAATCAATCACTCAACGTGTTTCTATCAAGCCTACCTAGTGCGGGAGTAGCGGCCACGCAGCGGACGTGGTCTTAATTTAAAATTACACCCAAGTTTTATCGGTGTGTTTAGAAACAATTAGGTATGTAGGTACTCAATATTGTGATTGTAAAGTAACAATTTCCGCAAAGTATGGAGTAGTAGAAATTTCCTCTTCAATGTGAATTAGTAATTTTGTACATACCTAATTTTAATTATTCAAGTGTTTAAAACTTAGATAATAATACCTAAGTACCTACAATGTATTTCTCTACAATTGTCTGTTGCATTTTAGTATCGGTCATAAAGGAAGTGCTTACGATCATAACTAGTGAACTATTTACGATCCGAACAGAAGGGTGTACCATACCCGGCTTTTCTAAAGTGACTGAAAGTATAAAAATGATAGTTGCTGCTCCGCCCCTAACTCGTAACTGTAGTACGCCTGAAAAGCTCGTCAGAGCAAATATATCCCACATCTGGGTGGCGCATGAAGCTATCTATTCTCACAACGTTTTTAGAGAAGACACGTTTTACTGTTGTTATAAAAATTTCTCTTCTTCAACCAACCTAGAAAACATAATTTATAGTGAATGCAAAGAATTTTTAAATGTTATAAAAGCGGAACACGAATTTGTGCAAATTGAATGCTATCACCTAGATGAAGTAATTTACACAGATTTTTTCTTATTTGATTTCCATGAAGAGATCAACACCTCGCAAACCGACAGCTCTCTCGCCAATAGTTCTCACAGTCAAGAACCATTTAATGTCCTTATACTTGGTATTGAAAGCATGTCTCGACTTAATTTTCATCGTACTATGCCTAAGACGACACGTTTTCTTAAGGAAAAAGGTGCTGTAGAGTTACATGGCTATAACAAATTAGGTGACAACTCACTTCCCAATTTATTTCCGCTTCTTTCGGGATTCTCATATAAATATGTAAAGCAAACATGTATCCAAAATAGCATATTTAATGTTGATAAATGTGCCCTTATATGGGATAGCTTTAAAGAGAAAGGATTTCACACTGCTCTAGGCTCTGATAGTATAGCTGGCCTACTAGGCAACTACGAATATACTTTGCCAAGGATACCGACTGACTCATATTTACAACCATTTATATTCGAAACTAGAAAGTTATTTAAAAACCAGCAGTACAACTTTCACCCATGCATGGGCTCGAAATATTTTTACAGAATACTGTTAGACTATATTTATGAATTAGCTCAACATTTGATCTTACACAAATTCTTCGGTATCTTTTGGGAAGAATCGATAAGTCATGAAGACCTTAACAGCCCCCACATCATGGACGATTCCTATGTAAACTTTTTGAGTAAATTACATAAAGATAATTATTTGAATCGAACTGTACTTATAATCCTAAGCGACCATGGTATGAGATGGGGTAAAATAGTTGAAACAGAACAAGGTCGATTGGAAGAACGTTTGCCATTATTTAATATACTTTTTCCAGAACAGTTTAAACAACGTTATAAATTAGCTTTTCGTAATATACAACATAATGTTCACCGATTAACTACACCATATGATATTCATGAAACATTGCTAGACTTGCTAAATCTAAATTCACTAGATGATTCCAAAATCAAACAGAGAAGTAGTGCTCCCAGTTCGAACAAATCGAGTCTTTTTGTTCCTATATCTGCCATAAGAAATTGCTCATCAATTGGTATTGAAGAACATTGGTGTGCATGTCGTCGAGGAGAGAAAATTAAAGTAGGAAAAAAAATTCAGACAATGGCTGCAACTAATCTCGTCGTGCAAATCAATAAGCTGTTAAAAAAATATTCGCAATGTCATAAACTGACCCTTAGTTACATTTATGACGTGTATTTAGTAGAAAATAATGAGAATTGGCGAATTTACACAGTGATGGTACAAACTGAGCCTGGAGGAGGAATTTTTGATGGTACTCTTATCCAAGATAAGTCGCGGTGGCTCATCTCTGGCACAGTTAGCCGATTAAATCTTTATCGAAATCAAAGTGACTGCGTTGAAAACGAGGACATTAAACTGTATTGTTATTGTGGCTAATTGTGGTTTTTTTTTAATGACTAGCTTATGCCAGCGGCTTCGCCAACGTTCCCGTGGAACAAAAAGTAGTCTGTGTGTTATTAGTTTATTACAGACTTCTATATTCAGATCTACCCCTGTTCCGAATTTTGTCCCTTCAGCCGCTTTGACACGAAGGCGTAACAAGGAAACAAATTTAGACTTTCGCATTTACAAAAGTAGGATATAAAATATACCTACCTACATTATCGCATCCTTATCCTTACTATCCTTACTCCTTACTAATATCTATATATATAAAAGAAAGTCGTGTTAGTTACACTATTTATAACTCAAGAACGACTAAATCGATTTGGATGAAAATTGGCGGGGTGGTAGCTTAGAACCAGGAGACGGACATAGGATACTTCTTATCAAAAATTTTTTTTTACTTTTACCGAAAATCACGAACGGGAACGGGGGGAAATGGGATTGCGCGTACGAAGTCGCGGGCAGAAGCTAGTAATATTATAAATCGGAAAGTGAGTTTGTTTGTTTGTTTGTTTGTTCCGCTTTCACGGCGTAACTACTAAACCGATTGCTTTGAATTTTTGCAGACGTAAAGTTAGAAGTCTGGATTTAATAATAGGGTACTTTTTATCCCGGAAAAATTTGATATTCCCGAGGGAAAACAAAAGTATTGGTATTGATGGAGCTGTGTATTTTGGTATATGTCACATAGGCTACTTTTATCCTTTTGTGACGCGAGCGAAGCCGCGAAAGCTAGTTATTATTATAAATGTGAAAGTTTCTTTGTTTCAATGTTTGTCCGTCAATCACGCTGAAACTACTGAACGGATTTTGATGAAATTTAGTATACAGACAGGGTACCAACTAACTTAGGTAATACAATTTCATCCCGATCAAATGCTCCTATGGAACAAAACAGGAGTACGCGGGCAAAGCTGCGGGTAAAAGCTAGTACATACATTATATCTATTTAATAATAATAGGTACCTAAATAGTATTTACCTTTCTATGTAGATGAGTATTTACACTCATTATTATTTTTATTTTTTTTATTTTTTTAAGGGGGGAAAATCATCGAATGACTGCTCCCGCCTGGGTGAGGCGGAAGGGAGTGTCAGACTCTTACTGACTAAAAACCACCCCGTTCCTTCTCCTGCACGTCGAGCCGGAGCCCCGGTTACCCGTTAGGTTCTCCGCGACTCCGAATCGGCATCGGCCCTATTGGGCCCCATCTGTGGTGGTCTGATGGCTCTTTGAGGCGCGCGCGGAACGCGACGCGCCGTACGCTCGGGTCTGTTTCTGGTCGGACGGGGAGCCACCCATGCTCGCCGTCCGCAGGCCCGCGCTTATGGTGGCCGGAGATCGTCCCGCGATCCCCGACGCCCGGTGTGTCCTTCGCGATGGCTGGGTCGCGAGGAGGCAGCGCTTCGCTGCCTCACGCGTCCCGCCTCCTCCTTAGCCAGCATGACTGCTTCGCAAAAGGAGGAGACGGCATCCCAGTCCCCCTCGCTCCGCATCATGGCCTGCACTAGTCCCGGACGCGAGAGGTCTCCATCGCCGATCACTTCCCTGAGGGCACGGCGGTGCTCAGCCCACGCAGGGCATTCCGCAACAGTGTGTTCCACCGTGTCCTCAGGGTGGTCCTCGCAGTGATGACACCCGGGCGTTTCCTCCCGCCCCATCAGACACAGGTACCTCCCGAAACTTCCATGTCCGGTGAGGACCTGCGTCAGGCGGTAGGTGAGGACGCCGTAGCGTCTCTCAAGCCACTCCTCAAAGAGGGGACTTACCGCTGCAATGGCAGCGAGCCCAACTCATTATTATTTGGGAACGTATTTAGGTAAGTATTCTTTGCGAAGTGCGAGTGGATACATTGTATTTCTTTATCTTATTAAATAAAGATAAAAAAAAATTACGGCCAGACTAACAAACTTCTATTTTTGGTCTTGTTGAAATAAATGCTTTGAGTTTCTTCTTATTAGTCAAAAATTTTAAATAAATGTCAAATGAGCTTGTATAAGTAGTAAAGTACCTGGCTCTCCTTCTGTTCTTCGTTTTTGTGGTTAGGTATGTGTACTACTGTGTATTGTAATATAAGTGATTAGTTTAGTGCTTACATAAAACAACAATATTCAAAGCTGGTTTCACAGGCTCTGGACTGGATAATCCACATCTATAAAATGTTAAACATAGTAAAATGTATTATGTATGTAAATGAACTATCTATCAGTTATCAAGAATAATGTTTTGTTTTACTATATACCTACTATAGTGATGTATGTTTGCCAGCTGGTCAACCTATCGTACCAACGTCCTTGATCCATTGATTTTTTTTTTCGAAGTCTAAAAAGACTTTTTTCCAAAGCATTAAAACTAAAACTAATGAATTTCTCTTTGACAAAAATTGTCATACGATAAACGTCAGTGTCAATAACTTGTCTTCTCATCCAAACCTGTCAACAATAATCTTATCCCGTTACACATTTTTTCCGAATAGTATTAGAAAATGTATAGTTCGTAAGATTTTTGTGCAATATTATCAATACATGAATAAAAATGGCCCTAACTTATAGGGCCTTATTTAAAAATTATTATTACTTGCAAAATATAACCAAACCGGTAAAATGGAGTGTCGGAGAGAAATATCCAGTAAGAAGTATGGCAATTGGCCCCTGTTATCATAATGAATACAATCCAAGACCCTTGCTTGAGGCAAAGGATTTAACAATACAAGCTACAAGCTTAAGACTATATTCCACTCAAGACAAACCTCCATCAGATGGGGAACCAACAAAAGTGAAAGTAGGTCTTATACAAAAATTTAAAGTAATGTACAGGGATTATTGGTATGTGCTAATACCTGTTCATGTGGCTACGTCTATTATTTGGTTTGGAAGTTTTTACTATGTTGTTAGAAGGTATGTACACCTGAAATACTTTGAATTTGTTCCAGATGGAATATCATTTGATTAACTTTTATATCTTTACAGTGGTGTTGATGTGTTAGCTTTATTAAAAACATTAGGTGTCAGTGAAACCATAATTGTTCCCTTAAGAGACTCTGCTGCAGGATATTTTGCCCTCGCATTAGCATTGTACAAATTGGCAACACCTCTGCGGTATACTGTAACAGTAGGTAATGTCATATTTTTTACTACTAATAATTTATTCATTATTCATATTATTAAAACTGTTTGAATAGGAGAATTTGCATTTAAAGGTATTTGCATATTAAAATAACTTGCTTTGTCTCATCATCTAAAATGTGAACAATTTATTTTAATGTTTCCAAGTTTGTCTATAAGTAACCCATGAAATATTATTAACATTTTACTGCTTTCTAGGAGGGACAACAGTTGCCATTAAAAAATTAAAAGAATTGGGTTTCATCAAACCAGTCCCTTCACGAGAAAGGATAAAAGAAATTTTTCAAGAAAAGAAAGATACACTCCAAGATCGTTTCAATGAGAGTAAAACCCATTATCAAACACAAATGAAAGAAAGACGCACTCAAGTCCTGCAGGAAATGAAACGTTATAAAACTGAAATGAGGAATATGAAAAAAAACAAGGTGAAGAAACTGTAAAACTTAAAAATTCCATAAAAATAACTAACTTTAACTAATTAATGCAAGAATGTCATGAAAATGTTATTTAGTAACAATTGACCAACATGAAGTATGAATTGAGAAACTACCATAAAATGGATAAGTACTAGAATATTAATAACTAATTAAAATTATATGCAGTTATAAGTTTTGTAATATTTATTACTTATTTAATTATAAAAAGAACTACATAACAAAATCATGTTTATTTCATATAAAATAGCTAGTTACAAATAATAATCACATCATTTTTCATCAAAATGTACATATAAAATGGTTTAACCTAATTATATTAAGTACAAAACAAGACAGCACATTACTGGAATGTTTTATTGCGCCTCTCATCCTAAAATATTTCTAAAATTGTGACCAAAAACAATTATATGCTCATAAACAGTACAGAGCCTATTCTTTTAACCATTGTATATTTAATATTTAGTACTATACACACCAACCAGGCGTGCTGCCCAGTCTAGTGTGTAAAAATAATAAATGCATTTCACATCAATGGCAAATCAACTAGCAGTAGCAGCCATAATACTTAGGGGTTTTAACATCTATTTCTAGTACATAGAAATACAGCGTCAAATTCATTAACAATTAGAAGCCTAATTTAAAACCAATTCCATCATCAGTTTCATCATTTCATAATAAAAATCAATTCCCATAATCACTGAAGATGTATCAGTTAAAACATTGGATATCACAAATTATAAAAGGCAAACTTTCTTGGCTAAAACAAATCACAATCATCATTATTAACTTTATTTATTCTATTTGCTGCTATGAAATACAGTTGCTAATCAAATATATTCATACATTTTACTAACATTTAAAATACCTAAGCAGAATTGTTGTTCTACTCTTTCAATATGCTTATCAATAGATAGGTTGCGATATCGTGACATTTACATAGAATCACATTATCTTGAATTATTATTCTTAAAAATATTAACAACACAGTTTTAATGTTTTGCTTGATCCTCATAACTTAAGTTACAGATATTAAAGCTAATTACGATAAATGCTAATAGGTGCAACATTAGCTATACAAAATTATTTTTGAGCACATAATTTGATAATAGAAATATTAGCCTGCCAACTATTTATTCTGTTGTAATATAATTGTTTTAACACTAGACGCAGCCAAAACAGTGAAGTTCAACCCATGTACTGGTATGAAGCGGGGGAGAGATGAGGCGCTGGCGAGTGGCCTGGTCCCGTCGCCGCTCCGATCGTGGCCAAATGACAAGCGCGACACATTAATTTACCTGAAATAGTTTCATCATCATAATATAATATTTTTATAATCAAAATTATTGTGGAAATACATTGTCTAAAAGAAATACAAAATTGAAAATAGCAACAGGAACATATCAAAAGGTTTTTTTTTTCTTTTTCATCATATAACTTTACAAACAGAACATTTATATTTTGTGCTTGTACATATCTAAGCAACAAGCAAGTTTTATTACCTTGATATATCAAGTACCTGAACCTCTTCAGAAATTATAATAATCAACTAATATCTGAAGTAATTAAATTATTATTATCGAATCATATCACAAAATATGAGAATAGTCACTAACTTATTCAAATTCCTTCTAATTTCAAGTAGATACAAACAGAAAATGTAAATGTGCTACACTTACCAGCTAAAGGATAGCAGCGTTTATCAGGTTCATCAGTTAGTTGCATTCCACAAACACAACACATGTAGCAGTCAACATGGAAGTCCCGGTCCATTGAGACAACACGCACTGTTTCATCCGTGCCTTCAACTGGTGTAATACCTATTGTCAAACAAAACAATATTCAGGAGTCAGGATCAAGATGTGATCAATTTACTTGAGCTTTAATTATTTTCCTTACCTTTTCCACAGCTAGCACATTTAGGCGCAAACATGCGATGGTAGTCATTCACACAGTATATCTTGTTGTCAACATCCACAGTGAAGGGCACCCCATCGAGACATTCATTGCAAACACAGCAACGGAAACAACCTGGGTGGTATGATTTGCCCATTGCTTGTAAAATCTGTTGACAATGAGATAAACAAATTGTTTAGGTTAACTAGGTCAAGGCATAAAACAAGACTAAACTGTTAATTCAAGCAAAATTATATTTTACCATTTCCATTATCAAATGACCACATATTGCACACTTCTCAGCAGTTTGTTGGAATCCAGAGTACTGTAACAGTCAATAATAAAAATTTATTTAATTAAAAATTTACATTAAGTAAGAATTATAGATATACTAAGTACACACCAAATAGTCTTCTTCACAGTAAACCTTCCCATGCACATTGTAGAAAGCCTTTCCTCGTAATGCACGGCCACATGAGCAACAGATGAAACAATTTGTATGATAGAGGTTGCCCATGGCTTGACAAGCCTGGCCTGCCCCTGTGACTCCAGCACCACATGTATGACAAATACCTACACAACAATCCAATCAAACATTAGTCATTTTACTTGTTCATTAGAAACAAGAAACAAGATGAATCCATTAAGTTATTTGATAACCCAATAATTTAAACTACATAACAAGGTTACTACAACAGTAATAGTAAACTTTCTTACCAAAGTATTCACCCTCCTCATCTTGCCTCTCCATTTCTTCCTCAAGTTGTCTAGTGAGTTCTTCTATTTTACGTTGTGCCTCACTGGGACCTGGAGGACGAGGTGGTGTGATGCTGTAAGGCAACAAGCTTTTGCCCCTTCCACCAGAGCCTCGAGAACCACCTGACACTTGAGAGACTGAGCTTGGAGTTGGACTGGGTGCAGGGGATTGAGCCGGGGAACATAGAGATGTAAGACCTGATACCAAATTCCTAGAAGTAATAGACTCTGAGGCAATGGAGACATTGTCCCTGTTAGCTGCTGCCACTGCAGCTGCAGGAGAACCACCAGTCATACACACATAGTCTGAACCATTTGTGTCTTCCACTATCTGCATTCTACCACCAACTGTTGGCTTGGCATTATAGCCTCCATTGATTAAAGGTTTCTCTTTTCCGATACTATTGCCAATGTTTGGCTTAGGATGAAAGAATTTGGGACTTGCTGTTGCAGTTTGTACTTCAGTAGCAATATTAGCCTTAGGTCTTTGTGCACTTGGTGCTATAGATGCATATATTGCTGTAGATGGTATGGTCACAACTTTATCATCAAAACTAATAGAATTATCACTCTTGAGCAGTGCACTCACGTCAGTGTACTTGGGAGGGGCAGACTTCATTACTGTGTAGTCACTTCCTGGATTATCTTGAGATGTATTGTATGGGGGAGGTGGTGGAGCTTTATCTATTTTTACTTTGTCACTTGATAACATTTGTGCCATACTCCTAATAGCTCCAGTGTTGGGTACTTGTGGTCCAGGAACTGATCCCTGCTGTATAAAACGCTGGTCATGGTTTGGTTGGGGCTTAAACTCACTTTTCTTATCAGTATCAGAACACAACATGTTTTCATACACTAGTGGGTTAGGTTTAGTAGTCTTGGAGTTAACTGGCACTTGAGGTTGAGCTTTACTATAACGTGTATCGTAGTATCCGTCAGACACTGGCGGCGGCGGCGCCTGCCCGTACAACTGATGATAGTACGGAGGTTGAGGTGATCGCTGCTCACCGTAATAATCTATGTTTTCATAAACTGGTGGCGGGTATTGAGCATTTGGAATCGCCGGGATCTCGTACAAGTCATCAGTTTGATAACTGAGTGATCTTTGTGATATAGAATCTATGGAACGTGTCGGACTGGAAGGCAGAGCTGCAGTGTTTATATCGCGTTTATTGATCGACGCAATAGTTTCAACTCGTTTAGGCGTAGCAAACTTTGAAGCAGCTATGACGTTCGACCTCTCGTAAAAGCTGTAATCTTGACGATTGTTTTGGCTATTATCCAATACAAAGCTCTCTATTGCTCCCACAGGTCGGGTTTTGGCCAGAGAACTTGTGTTCGATGTTACGGCGCCGTGCGCTTGCTCAGTTACATCTTCAACTTTATTGGAGAGTTTTAAATCTTGAAGGCCCATAATACATCGTTGTTCATCTGTGTTACTCCTACGTGATGAATCCATATTATTAAATTAATGCAATAATAAAATTAAAAATAAAACTTTAGTTTCAATATGAATCCGAATGAATCATCTCAATCTCAAAATCTCAAATTGAAGAATAAATTGAAGTCTCAAACAAAACATCCACTACCACTAGTGAAGGATCAAGAGAAGAACGATTGATCCAGTTGCAGATCTACAGTGAATTATCGATCAATTGAATCGATTTTTTTAGTTTTAATTTTTTACTGGAAGAATCTTTTAAAAAATAATATATACATACTGTATTGTATCTAACTTTGATTATTTCAATAAACTTACAGTACCTAGTAAAATCAATGAGCATGAATCTTATCAGATCAGTAGTCTAGTAATTGTATAGACTCAGTAATCAGTTTTATAAAATTATCTTATTAGTCGATTGATACTGCTCATTTGATTTCTGTTGTATACAACATTGTTCTATATCATAGATCAAAATAGAATTATTGGAACATTTATTAATCTGTGCCGAGGTAGTGTCTATGCGTATCAAAGACAACCCAACACTCATTCAGTCAGCGACTGGTTTGGGCAAGTCGAGTTGAAGAGAGAATTAATTTGACTTAGTGTTTTGTGTTTTAATTGGTAATAGTCTTATCGAGGAGAACTTTTAGTTCTCCTTTTAATTATGTACGAAACAGAAGATGATCAGTATGAAGAAATTGACGTGGAGGAAATATCATCGGAGCTTTGGCAAGAAGCTTGTTGGATCGTCATCAACGCTTATTTTGATGAAAAAGGTTTGGTACGCCAACAATTAGACAGTTTTGATGAATTCATTCAAATGTCAGTCCAGCGTATCGTAGAAGATTCACCACCTATAGAATTACAAGCTGAAGCTCAGCATTCATCGGGTGAAATTGAAACTCCACCAAAATATCTTCTAAAATTCGATCAAATCTACTTATCAAAGCCTACACACTGGGAAAAAGATGGTGCTCCCTCACCTATGATGCCTAATGAAGCTCGTCTGCGAAACTTGACTTATTCTGCTCCACTGTATGTGGATATAACCAAAACAATTGTGAAGGAACATGAAGACCCTATTGAAACCCAGCATCAAAAAACATTTATTGGCAAAATTCCGATTATGCTTCGGTCTACCTATTGTCTTCTGAATAACTTAACAGACAGAGACTTGTCTGAATTAAATGAATGTCCACTTGACCCTGGTGGTTACTTTATTATCAATGGTTCTGAAAAAGTACTAATTGCCCAGGAAAAGATGGCAACAAATACTGTATATGTATTCAGTATGAAAGATGGTAAATTTGCTTATAAAACAGAGATCCGATCATGCCTAGAGCACAGTTCTAGGCCCACTTCTACTTTATGGGTTAACATGATGGCTCGTGGTGGCCAGAATATAAAAAAATCTGCAATTGGACAAAGAATAATTGCGATTGTTCCATATATCAAACAAGAAATTCCTATAATGATTGTATTCAGAGCTCTCGGTTTTGTTGCTGATAGAGATATATTGGAGCACATTATCTATGATTTTGATGACCCTGAAATGATGGAAATGGTCAAACCTTCCTTAGATGAAGCTTTTGTAATTCAGGAACAGAATGTGGCTCTTAATTTCATTGGTGCCCGTGGTGCTCGCCCAGGTGTTACTAAAGAAAAGCGTATCAAATATGCAAGAGAAATTCTACAAAAAGAAATGTTACCTCATGTTGGAGTGTCAGATTTCTGTGAAACTAAAAAAGCTTATTTTCTGGGCTATATGGTACATCGTTTGTTGCTTGCTGCGTTAGGACGTCGTGAGCTAGATGACAGAGATCATTATGGCAACAAGCGTTTAGATTTAGCCGGACCTTTACTTGCATTTTTGTTTAGAGGTCTATTTAAAAATCTGTTAAAAGAAGTAAGAATGTATGCCCAGAAATTCATTGACAGAGGAAAGGACTTTAATTTGGAATTGGCTATTAAAACTAAAATTATAACTGATGGGTTAAGATATTCCCTTGCTACTGGAAATTGGGGCGACCAAAAGAAGGCCCATCAAGCTAGAGCTGGAGTATCACAAGTATTGAATAGGTTAACCTTTGCTTCAACATTATCACATTTGCGACGTGTGAACTCTCCAATTGGTCGAGATGGTAAGCTAGCCAAACCTCGTCAATTACATAACACTTTATGGGGTATGATTTGTCCTGCCGAAACACCTGAAGGTGCTGCTGTAGGTTTAGTGAAAAATCTAGCCTTAATGGCTTATATTTCGGTAGGCAGTCAGCCATCTCCCATTCTTGAGTTCTTGGAAGAGTGGTCTATGGAAAATTTGGAGGAAATTGCACCTTCAGCTATAGCTGATGCCACAAAAATATTTGTAAATGGCTGTTGGGTTGGTATTCACAGAGACCCAGAGCAATTAATGGCTACTTTAAGAAAACTAAGACGTCAAATGGATATTATTGTTTCTGAAGTGAGCATGATTCGTGACATTAGAGACAGAGAAATAAGAATTTACACAGACGCTGGCAGAATATGTCGCCCTTTGTTAATTGTCGAAAATGGAGCTTTGCTATTAAAGAAGAAACACATTGATGATCTTAAGGAACGTGATTTTAATAACTATGGGTGGCAAAATCTTGTAGCGAGTGGTGTTGTTGAATACATAGACACCTTGGAGGAAGAGACTGTAATGATCGCAATGAGCCCTGATGACTTAGCTCAAGTAAAGGAATATGCTTACTGTACTACATATACTCACTGTGAAATTCATCCTGCTATGATACTGGGTGTGTGTGCATCAATCATACCATTCCCTGATCACAACCAGAGCCCTAGGAATACCTACCAAAGTGCTATGGGTAAGCAAGCTATGGGTGTTTACATTACTAACTTCCATGTAAGAATGGACACTCTGGCTCATGTGTTATATTACCCACACAAGCCATTGGTTACTACAAGATCCATGGAATATCTGCGGTTTAGAGAATTGCCTGCAGGCATTAATTCGATCGTAGCAATTTTGTGCTATACAGGCTACAATCAAGAAGATAGTGTTATTCTGAACGCATCTGCTGTAGAAAGAGGATTCTTCCGGTCCGTATTTTACAGATCTTATAAGGATTCAGAATCTAAAAGGATTGGTGACCAAGAGGAACAGTTTGAAAAACCTACTCGACAAACATGTCAAGGCATGAGAAACGCTTTGTACGACAAATTAGATGATGATGGCATTATTGCGCCGGGTATAAGAGTATCTGGTGATGACGTAGTTATTGGAAAAACAATCACACTACCTGAAAATGATGATGAATTAGAAGGTACAACAAAACGTTACACAAAACGTGATGCATCAACATTTCTCCGTAATAGTGAAACTGGTATTGTCGACCAGGTGATGTTAACACTAAATAGCGAAGGTTACAAATTCTGCAAAATTCGTGTCAGATCAGTGCGTATTCCTCAAATCGGGGACAAGTTTGCTTCCCGCCATGGTCAAAAAGGAACGTGCGGAATTCAGTATAGGCAAGAAGATATGCCATTTACTTGTGAGGGTATAACTCCTGATATTATTATTAATCCACACGCTATCCCATCTCGTATGACAATTGGCCATTTAATTGAATGCATCCAGGGCAAAGTATCTTCTAACAAAGGAGAAATTGGTGATGCAACACCATTCAATGATGCTGTAAATGTGCAGAAAATATCTTCGCTACTGCAAGAGTATGGCTATCATCTGCGTGGTAATGAAGTTATGTATAACGGACATACAGGACGAAAGATAAATGCCCAAGTATTTTTGGGTCCCACATATTATCAACGTCTGAAACATATGGTGGATGACAAAATCCATTCAAGAGCTCGAGGACCTGTGCAGATTTTAGTGAGGCAACCTATGGAGGGCAGAGCTAGAGATGGTGGATTACGTTTCGGAGAAATGGAACGGGATTGTCAAATTGCTCATGGCGCGGCACAATTCCTACGTGAACGTCTTTTCGAAGTGTCTGATCCTTATCGTATACACGTTTGCAACTTCTGTGGTCTTATTGCCATTGCAAACTTGAGAAATAATACTTTTGAATGTAAAGGATGTAAGAATAAGACCCAAATATCGCAAATAAGACTGCCATATGCTGCGAAGTTATTGTTCCAAGAACTGATGTCCATGAATATTGCGCCAAGGTTGATGGTTGTAAATTAAGTATAAAATACCTATTTCATTTCATTAAAACGATTTTATTATTGAAAACTTTCTTTTTGATGTTTTTAATATGTATTGTATTAATTCTAATAATAAAATACTTACAATATTTCATTGACTTTTATTATCACAAATCGACAACATTAAATGCAGCTTAAATACAACAACCATAATACAAAAGTGTACAATATGTATAATTCACTTACACATTTAATTTAATTAAGTAATATCAAATGCAATGATTTGTAAATAGAGTTAAAACTTGATGTTGCTTTTTAAACCAATCATATAAATCGTAATTTATATACCATCATTTGTGCAGTCAAACATTATAATGGTGACTTTGTATAGTAAATAACTAAAACCATTCTAAACATACATAAACATTTTCAATTTATCAGTACAAAATGACTTACTGGTAACTTTCATAATAGTAATTTCTAATAGACTCAACATTATTTAAAACATTTATACATAAACATCTGCAAAAACAAAGCGAATAACTAGAATTCTAAACAGCAAATAAAACAATATTTGCAATCAAGAATCCGCATTATAAAGAGTTAAAAAACTACAGTAAAACTTTCAATATTAAATAAGAGAGCGAGTGATTAACACTAAGATGGAAGTAATTATTTAAGTACATACTTCAACAGCCAGTTTTTTTATGTATATCTTTCTTTATACATGATATCGTGAAAAATTGCAAAATATTGGCTCTAGTTAGCATGTCCCATTGAATTTTTTATTCGGTCTTTATATATAACTATGTACTTAAAGACGCAATAAGTAATTTTGCTTTATTCTTGAATGTTGATTTGCTTAGGCTCAATTTAATTAGTAAGGTAGGAACATTAAAAGATTTAGCAATTTTCAGAACCTTGCCGAATTGAATTATGAAAATATGCACCATGATTATTCTTAGATTAAAACTATTTTACTGTACAACTTACGTATCTAAAATCGATGTATTGGGTGCACATCGTATTTAATATACATATTCATAAATAATAACAATATGGACGATTAAGAAGTTGAAAAATAACAAAAAATAGGGTATAAACTTGTAGTTTCTCGTAGTGGAAATATGATTTGTAAAATAGGTTTCATTTATTTAATAAACGTCGAGTACCTGGATAAAATTTCATTGGCATAAAGTTATAAAATATAAAACTACTTACAAAAACTATTACACAACTACTAGATAGCCCACAGGCTATCTTTATTTATTAATGACAATTTGAATCTTGGAGTAACCTTAGATTTAAATAAATAAAGTTTTAGACTACAGTTGACTTTACGCCTTATGACATTTATCTGTAAAACTAAATATAGAGTTACTTAGTTCAGCGAGATGGTGGCAGCGCTGGCTGTTCCATATTTTCCTCATCTTTAGGTCGACTCCATTTTATCATAGTTTCAGGGGACCGGTAGAGGAATACTAATTTAGCAAACAGATCTTCTTCCAAAGCGAGCTCGAGTGCTTCACGTACCTAAAGATAATAAACATGTTAGATTTTTATCTCTAAAAGCTAAACGAATACTAGCCTTATTGCTAACTTCTATTCAGATTCAGAATTAATTTTATGCAAAAACGGGGTAATCTAATTAAATCCATTTAAAAATGCATTACTTGTGCGTGACTAGTTGTAGCCTATATTTATATAACCAAGAGTTAGTTTAACTTCTCAGAAATATCTAATAATACAAGGGTCCACAATGAGTACTTACCAAATAAATGTCAAGACACAGTTGTAGTACTCTGTCAGCATTTGGTAGATCATCGAACATGATCCTCGTGTAAATTCCTGAGAAGAATCCTCGCAGGACTCGAGACGCCAAGAACACGAACGTCGTGTATAATCCAATGATACTAAAAAAAACATTAATGTCATTTTGGGCCACAACTTCATTAACAGAAACGATGATTTTTCTATGTAAAAAATATAAATGCTTATGAAGATAAATACTCACCCACTGCCTGATATAAAGTTTAATGTCTCGGGGAACAGCTTATCGTTAAAAGTGTACATGACCAGCATGTCGCAGTTATTTAGTGGGACCGACAGCAATGGATCCTGAAAATATACATTAATAATATTATTTGATCTTTATTCAATACATCACTTATTTGCAATGATTCTGATAGTACCAAGTGTCTAACGTTATGGTTTTCAATCTAGAGTCTAAGACACTGTCCTATCTAGTTTTTTCTATTCCAAAGTCCCATCCCATATAGGTACGTTAGACAGTATGTTGATTTAACTTACCCGCATGGAACAAGATTCTCGAACGCGCCAGTACATCACATCCTTCTCTATATCTCTCTCCAGCCGAAGAAGCACATCACGGTAGACGATGGCTTCCTCACCTGCAATAGCACATCATTCACCATCAATTACAAGACATCAGACTGCTTAGTGACAAGTGAAAATAGTATGCACGAAGGAACTATTCGTTTTATTTACTATCAAGCTATCGGTCCCCAATAACGCGCTGGGCATTGGCGAATATTGACTTTGGCAACATAAAGACATTGGGAGGCCTTAAAATGTAGATGAAAGCAATCAAGATATAAAATGTCATACCCACTTACTATAATGGTGAACACCATTTTATATTTTTATTAGTAATTCAGAGTAAAAAGTTGTCTTACCGTATTCGGTGTCGATATTATCATCTTCTTCTATTTGTGTCGGCATTAGTTGGTATGCCGGTTTGGTGGTGCCCTTATTGAACACCTTCAAAAACTTCGGGAACAAGTACTTCACGGTTAACCTGATTAAATTATAATAAATATTATAAAAGGAATAATGTTCCAAGTAATATGCAATTCGTTTTATTTTGCTAGGATCTGTGATTAGCAGATAATTAGTACCTTTAATATTAAATTTCATTAGGAATTAAAACAGGTGTACAAGACTGGCAGTTCGACAACGTTTTAGTATTTACAAGCCTTTTATAAGTACACAATAACATGAAATAACCTGAATATGAAATAATATGAAAAACCTACAAAAATATACTCAAAATAAAAGAGCAGTAGTAAAAGAATAAATGATCTCACCAGGTATCAGGGTCGGTAGTGCCGTCGAGCAGTTTCCGTAGAGTTTCCCTCTGTGGGTTGGGTTGTCCGTCCACGTACGCATGGATGGGAACCTCGCGGTGATCCTCTATAGTCGGCGGATTCGGCACCGCATTTGTTGGATGCGTTATCACGTACGTAAACTTCACCATTAATGTTGCATCTGTGGAATTTCAGTGTTCATTATCGTAAAGTTTATGACAGAATATTAACTTTATTCATGTTATAAGTCTGTGTAATATAAGAAGGTTGGATGGTTGGATGGTAGGATTGGTAAGAAAATAAAATTAAGGTGAGTTTCTAGTCCCTAGTAGCAATTTGGGAGAAATAAGCCCCACTACCACCATTTCTTATGGCCTCTCTGTCACACGGGGTTGGTTTTTTTAATCAGAAGACGCTGCAGTTATGCATTATCAGGACAGGCGATAACCCAAGAATTCCACTATCACTAATCTAATAAAGTTATTATCCCATATCAACAAACGTTTAACAAATTTAAGTAAATAAAGAAATTTCTGAGTAAAACAGTAAATCTATATATATAAAAGAAAGTCGTGTTAGTAACACCACTTATAACTCAAGAATGGTAGGATAGATTTGGCTGAAAATTGGTAGGGAGGGAGCTTAGAGCCAGGAGACCGACTTAGGATACTTTTTAACCAAAATTTTTTTTTTCTTTTTACCGAACTTCACGAACGGGGACGGGAAAAAATGGGATTACGCGTACGAAGTCGCGGGCAGAAGCTAGTAAGTTATAAAAGAAGTGTTATTGTTGACTGACTAGAGGCCGCCTCTCGCTTGAGTCGGTCGAGCTCTGGCGGCGAGATCTCCCACTTGAGCGTGGAGTTGGGGTTGATGGTGATGACGGCGACGTCGTTGTACATGTAGTTGGACAGGAACGTCTGCGCCGTGCGGTCGCGCGCGTACATGTTGCTCAACTGAGTGTAGTCCTGCTCCGTGAACCTGGAACATAAAGTGTTGTACTAAGAATCTCTTCTATATTTCATCGTATTTTTTTAAAACATTGCCCCACACTATGGTTTTATGGTGTCGTGCATGCGTTTACAAACACATAATTTTACATCCTACACATGACACCCAGACCCGAAACAATAATTTGTGGATCACACACACGTTACCCATTGTAACCATGGTTTAAAAAAAATCTTAGTAGTAGCACGGAGTCTGGAAATGTGCCCAGTGTATGGCAATAGGCTCACCCCCTATTACATGAGACTTATAACATAAAATAGTGAAAAGTGGGTGTTATATTGTACAGTGGCATTAAGTGCCATAATGTACACCTCTGCCTACCCCTGCGAGGATAAAAGGCGTGAAGTTATGTTATGTGTAAAATCGTATCATGACGTTGATGTGTTTTAACAGCGGTTTTTATTTTTGATTCCTTATAATAGTAGATTTATTTTTATTTTTTTTAAATGTAAATATTTTAGTTCATAGTTATTTATATTTTAAGCTGTATATATTTTCATTTAGTAATAGTTAACATTAATTTTATATATGTCCATTATTATTTTAACAGGGGTGATTATAAAATATGATGTTAATAAAGATATAATAATACTTACACATCGATGTTGTGCGATTGCGCAGACATTTGGTATACAGGAAGGAACGGACCGATGCGGATCTTTACTGTAACGTCTGTAGGCGGGTTTGGTTCTCCGACCTGAAACCCAACCCAAAAAATATTCTAACTTTAGTTACAAATGTAAACAAGTTTGGTTTCTACGATCAAAATTCAATTCAATACGCAAAATCTCTTTTTATTAATTTTGTTATTTGCGAGTTAGGACGTTTATTTATTATTTATATTTTTGCGTACTAACTTTAAGCAGCTAAAAAATACGAAAGTAAGTTTAAAATTAAATGATTTCAATAAGAATGTGCGTTTCGAGTCATAAGGGTATTTAATACAGCAAAATGTAAAAGATAATAAATTACCGTATTTCCAAAGGCGAAGAATACGAGTGGGAACCATATGATGGCAATGACGAAGGCTAGTACTCCTCCTCCTAGTATGTATTTCGAGGAGTTGGCTTTCTTAACGCCGCGCGGCTGAGGGAACTCGTCTTCCAAGTATCGGGAACACTGGAAATAAAACAATTAGAATTATAAAACATAATAATATTAAAGTGTATTTTTGTTGTCAATGAATGTATCAAACTTATTTTGGAATCATTTAGCAGGTGCAGATACAATCTATCTATATAAATAAAAATGAATTTCCGTTCGTTGGTCTCGCTTAACACTCGAGAACGGCTGAACCGATTTGGCTAGTTTTAAAATGTTCGTGGTGGAAGTCCAGGGAAGGTTTAAAAAGTGAGAAATTTTTTTTAGGCGTTATGAAGTTTTCGGTGTCAGCTAGTATTTATATATAAATAATAATGTCTTACAAACAAACATAAGCTTCTCACTTTATTACACAACAATGATTTTTTCACGATCTTCATTAAGTCCTCGATCTAATTGGAGATAAAAGTGTTGTATACACTATAAATACCTTTAAGAGAAAGACACTGGCGAAGATATCTTCCATTTTGAGCCAATCCATTAGATTCATAGACGTGTCCGTCCATATCCAGTCCATAAGAGTCCGCAGCTCGAATAAGAATGGCACCGTCATGAATCTGCCAATTTAAATCCAGATTAAGTTGAAATTATTATTACTAAGACATTATTTAGGTAATAATCTCCTATTTCATATTTCTGTAGTGAGTAGATAGATATTGTAGAGGTGAAATCAATCTTCGCAATGCGCAAAATATTCAGCTTTTTAATCTTATAATTTTGCAAATTTTTAGTAATAACGATGACTGAAAATGTGCTTAGTATTTGGTAAAAGACTCGTATTACAACGCGGTTATAAAATTTGTGATAAGTAAACTTCTATGTATTAGGTGTATACATGTGTTTAACTATTTGGTGATGACGTAAACTGACCCTCTAAAGAACATCATGTTGAGGAAGTGGTATGATTTGCAGAGGAAGTTCCCGATGATACGGCGCGGGTAACCGCAGCGGATCTGGTACGCGGACAGCAACAAGTAGATACACTTCAACATGTACCACATCGGGGGCGGGAGCAGGGCGTTGAATGTTCTACGGAAGAATACATATGTTATGGACAACAAAAAACGCATTTTGTCAAAAAGCACTCAAAAAGCAAGTTCGATAAGGTTTGCTGTAATAAACATACACACATAACGTAAACAATTATTCGAATAGCGCTTAATTATTGGCTTACCGTTCAGTAATAAAAGGTAGAACGAAGAACATCCAGATATGGACTCCTATAATGAGCGCATACTGGAACAATATCTTGCCGAGCATGAACTTGCGCAAGTATAGCGCACGGTCTATGACTATTAGCGCAAACTGCAAGATCAACATCACGAGGAAGGGAATCGGTACTTTATTCTCTTCCAAGTATGTTTGCACTCCGCCATCACCTTGGTGCGTCTGGGGAATGAAGAAATCATATCCGAAGTTGTAATTTACCATATTAAACAGAATTATCTAAAGCTACTTGTATGAGGAAATTATTAAAGTTACGCGCAAGTGTTACATTACATTGTGCACATTATTTATCGATAATATAGACATCAATCCACAATGCTATTTACGGCATATTATAATTATGTTATTACCCTAGCGGTTTCAGCGGTCGCATCATGTGAAATGCCTTAGTAATTCTGAAAAGGCCGATAAATCTGATACTCACTCCAAACGCAGCGAATCCAAATATGACGACAAGGAAGTTGAAGAAGTCACAAAGGAACATATAGGCGTAAATATCGGCGGTAACGCGCGCGCCCGGCGCTAACATGCGCTGGAAGAATCGATGGACCGGACGGAGGTAGCGCTTTACTCTGAAACAAGATAAGTAAAATACACTCAAATACATATAGTCACATGAACACAGCGAAAGGTTAAGTAAAGATGCACTTAAACAATGTAATTCCACTTTAAGGACCAGTACTTAAATGTCTATTTTAGGCGGATTTTAAATGAGCGTCAGATTCAAATCAGCTAACAATGGCATTTCGACCTTATTGCTATATGATTTAAGTTCAAAATACTTACGATAACAGCATTACTTCTGGGTAATGCTTGTATGTGTTCTCCAATGTCGTCGACACTGCAATAATCGGTTCTTGATCGTCGTTCACTCTAAAAATATCATAAAAAAACATTTAGAATAAGAAGTATAACATAAACACAGCAGCTCTTAGTATCGCATACATTTATTTATTATCTATTGTAAACTAGTATTATAAGTAAAATTATAAGTTAGGTTGCTTTAAAAATGGGTAAATGATGTAACGAGGGAGCTATAGGCTAATAATTTCAATAAATGATTCTAATGAAATGACACACGAGTGACATCCCGGGAAGTATGTACTTATGTACCTACAGTATTCCATGTCGATACTTAGTACAGAATTCAAGTACATACTTGTAATGATCATCTTCTGCGGATTTCGAAGGTCCTGCTTCATTTTCATCAAATTCAGAGCTATGCGCTTGACCTCCACTACCAAAGTTTTCTGCACGCCTCTCATCTGACTCGCCAGGCCTGTGTTATAATAATAAAAATTAAAATATTTTTAATAACAAAGCTTATATGGAGGTTTGCATTTATGGTCAAACTAAACGAGTATTCAAATTTCAGCTCAATCGGTTGAAGATATCTACTTCATTTAGCTGCAAGATTCCACTTCACACGTCCATACATAAGTACTTACATTGCAAATTAACTATAAAGTTTGTAATAAAAAGGAGTTACGTAATTTGAATTTTACATTGATGGAATAAATAAATTCTGAAAAGACACCTTACAATCAATAGTTTTAACTTTAACAATAACTAAATATTACTATTTAACAATACTTATGTTTAATGGCTTCTATAGAAATAAATACATTTGAGAACGAATACATAATTACACACATTTACATCCTAATCGATTTAAATACATTTCGAAAAGGTACAATAAGAGATGCGATACGATATAGTTACAGATCTATTGTATGATGAACTCTAAATGAATTTAATACACACAAAATACAATACGAGGACTGATTTTTCAACAGACAATTTTTATAAGTAAGATTGCTAAGTTAGATAAATTTTAACAACAGTAAAATAAGTGATCGATAATTCCACGTAGTACTGGAATCCTACGAAGGAGTCGAGGCGGTACCCGGGCGTGGGCTGGGCGGGCGCGGCGGGCGAAGGCTCGGCGGCGGCGGGCGGCGTGCTGGGCGTGGCGGGCAGCGAGTCGCGCGCGTACCGCAGCAGGCGGCGGCGGCGCGAGCGCTGGCGGCGCCGCGAGCGCAGGCGCTGCCACACGAGCTGCGCCACGCGCGGGTCGGAGCGCGACGCGTGCAGCTCGATCATGGCGGCCGTGATGGTGGCCTGCACGTGGTACAGGCGGTCCACCAGCCGGTGACGACTGTCTGATCCGCACACCCCGCTATGTACTATCCGCACCACAATACATACTTCTCCTCCTGCCTGCTTACTTTTTTTTTCGACGTTTGGCTACCATGTCGCATACTACCTATTACTACCTACTTATTGTTTGTTTTCGAGGGAAAACCTTCAATAGATACATTGGTTTTGGGGAGACAGACTAGGAAATGTGGGGTATCTATCTGTTGATCTGTTTCAATGTGTCTCTCTGTTTAGAAACATGACATGCGTATATTGAAATAGGCCTAGCTTTACACATCACTATGGAAAGATGTCAAATAAGACAAAACATCGAAAGAAATAAATATTGTTATAAAAGGAGACTCACGGTCCTATCTGGTCGTGCAGCTTCACATATTTGCGGCCTACTTCAGTAATATGACCCTCGGCGACCAACTGCGTATCTTCAGCATTTAGCGGGTATTCCATATCTTCTCTTAATTCAATTTCTGGTGAAGATTCCTTCCATAGCCCGAGTGATTTCAACATAAACCTGAAATAAAAGAAACTTTATATTGTAAAACCTTAAACGCTCTTGCGATCAAAAACAGAGTCTTTATGACAGTAAAATAAGGTACGGTACACTGTAAAAACTGTTGACCACAATGCACAAGCATTATTATAGTTATTTAAAAGAGGAATTCTGAAAAATTTAGATTACAGCACAAAAGCATCACAAAATATACAATCAAAATTAAGCTTCTCGTTTTAGACTAATAATAGTTACCTATGTAAGAAGATAATGAGCAGCAGTAGTAGATCATAAAGTGCGTAGTTGAATTTCCTCTCAATACCAATGATCCGTGGCGCAGTGAACGGCATGTCTGCCGGTATCACCTTCTGATTCCACGGGAGAATCTCGAATTGGAACATACTCTTTATCAGTACTATGACCTGTGAAGAAATAATAAAAAAGTTTAGACAAATACCCTTTAACACATTCACAGAATCGCTTAAGACTTAACTTCAAAGAGATGAAAAAATAAATTTGAGTACTCATTTTTATGTAGTACAATAGTCGTTTAGTTAAACTTACCTCAGTGTAAGCGATCAGAGTAACCCAGAATGTCTTGGTGGGTCGCGGTATGGTCAGCGTGCCCCACATGAACACCATCAAGGGAAGCGGTATGGACAATATTGTCGCCGATTGTATCTAAAATGTATACAAATAGAGAATAAAAAAGCCCAGTAGAAGTACATGAGGTGCATAGCTCATGACTCGAGACAAATTTTTCGAGAATTATGTTGAGTCTGTAATAAAGAGCGAGTTCATTGCAAATTGTCATATGCTGGATCATTCCACTACTGACCAGATTACTGAAGAAGTTTTTTCGTAAAACGAAATGACGCTACATTATTCACCAAGGAATAGGTCGCGTCCAATCGAATAGTCTACAAAACTGAAAAGCAAATGTTTTCTAATTTTACCTGATTAATAAACACCATGATATAGCATACTATATCTGTATGCGCCAATACTGCATACCACAGCGCATAGCCGAGGTGTACGAACGGGGACCGATCTTGCTTGAACATCGAGTCATCTTGCTCCTCCAGAGTCGTGACGTCATGGCTGAAATATAATGTTCCCTTTACATTTTTATATAAGAATAAAGGAATAAACAAGACTTGTGTATGGTACTGTACATTAGTTGTGGAAGGGTAGAACGGATTTGTCTAAAAGTCAAGTCTTAAGTAAAAATTTGTAGATACTAAACTTTTAGGTACTTCAGCGCGATACCGCGTTCGGCGCTCTGATTGGTCTGCTCCAATGAAACAACCTATATGACGGCCGAACGCGGTCTCGTTTCGATCTCGTTTAACGTAAAACCAACTCGATATTGAGCCTTCTATTCAAAACAAAAAGTATATTCACCCAATTTTTGTTAGTTAAATGCTATAGTTAAGTACATACAGAAAAAAAGTCATGAACCGATGTACTTAAGACATGTTTTAACTATACGAGACTGCCCCGTCTACCAATTATAGGGTTTTAGATTAGGGTGAGTTGCGAACATTCAATAGGAGTGATTATACAGAGTAGATTAAAGTAAACCTTATTATTAAAAAAATGTTTTTAACCTTGAAGGATAGGTACATTTCAATGTAGGTTACCTACGTGTAATTTTTAATACACTGCAGGTAAAAACAATTACGCACACACTTAACAAAAACTAATAATACTTACGTTTACAAATACTTGTACGACCCATGCAACGTAATATTATTTACAAGTGTCCACCCTATTTACAACGAGAGAATACGAACGAAGGAACCATTTAAAACAAAACTTACCGTTCTCAAAAATCAAATTATCGAAACGAAACAAAAATACAAAAAGCTGCAATGTGACATATCGATAGAGAAAAAGTGGAAGACGAAACGAAGTTGTTATATCAATGCAGAATCACGGAAAAGTATAGATGAAGCCCATCAAGCGACAATAACATTCAACGAGACTTGTACTGTGTTTCATTGGAATCTAGTATTTATTGTTAGAGATATTTGACTCCTTTTTCCTTTGCATAGTTCATATCCACTGTCGTTACCAAATAAAGTTTGCGTTTTCTAGTTTTCTGCTAGTGGGAAATATCGTCTAAATTCAGTGGTGTTGACTGGAGCAGAAAAGGAAACACGCAAATTGCTTAGGGTGCCTTAACTGCTTTCTCCAGTTACAATAAGACATCCTCAACTTCCGGATTAAGGGTTATTTAACACCACCACATTCCCTCCAACTTATATATCTCATTATACCACTCGAGTTTGTTTGACAGTACAAGTGATCGTTGGTGGGACTGCACCTTGGAGTTGACTGCAAGGAAAAGGCGCTCTCATGTTCCGACGTATCGTCGTCGTCCGCCGGTGGATGCGAGGCCGAGCTGGTCGCAGACAGCGACAGCGGCGCGCGGCGCGGCGGCGGCGACACGTCCAGCCCGCGCTCCATGCTGGGCGCCAGGATACGTATCTCCGGCACGCTTATCTCACTTAACTTACGGCTGGAAACACCCCACCACGTATGACCATACTATACCTTGCTATCTTCCCACTTCACAACCTAAAGTTAAGTCGTCACACTCACTGGATGCTATTTATGTTTGATAAATTTAACTTAATACCTCTTGGTATAATCCCATATGAATGAAAAGTTTTAACGTGATTATGAATTTATAAGCCAATTTTTATAAAAACTCATTATTGTTAAGAACTTTCTAACATCGAATAGCAACGGTACATAGTCAGTCAGTATCAGTATCATAGCAATACAAACCCCATCTCAACTGGACAGAGTAGATTTCTGTCAATCAATTCCATCTCGCGAGTACTAGGCAGCATGCAAACAAAACACTACTTACTAATTCACTCTAGGAGGCTACATGAATATGATAGATGCAGTCGGTTATAAAAAGATCCAAACTGGAAAATTACTTCATATATTTACAACGTTGCTCAAAATGAAATTACTAACCATGATAAAAACACCAAGTCCGCAATATTTTCATTAGCTTCCTTCTAATTTTTAAACAACGTTGTAAAGTTCTACAGACAATTCTGTAACTAAAATCAAACTAATCATGCAGAAAGCATGGGCATAATACTACTATCTTACTACTAATACCTTTACTTAACTATTTCTACTACCTTTCAATAAGAAATTCATTCACTATAATATTGCTGTAAGCGCAATCATAAGTGTGCAGTTATCTATGCCATCTACTATAGACAGAACTACTACTCACTGTTTTTCTAATGTCTCTGGTAAGGGTTCCCATATCATCTGCGATCCTTCTCGGATTCCAATACCGAAGCCCTCCTTTTCCTAAAAAAAAAGAAACGTTATTAAACTGTCAAACACCAAGCGGTCACCGGTGACCGCAACCTATTGTTCTTTAATTGTGTCTATAAATACGGTACACGACGAGTTAAACTTTACTCTGCCAGAAACACAGCACCGATCGAGGTGGAGCCTTATTAGACGCCACGATCTTCTTAAAAAAACATTCGAATAATGAGTTAAGTATTATGTAAGTACCTTTAATATTTTCTTTTCAACTGAAAGAGTTTTCGATACATATCGATAGTCCCGTGAGTACTTCATCAAATGTCGTGTGATCGACACCAGGATGCTGGATATGAACGCCCACGCCGTGTCAACCACTTGTCGTAGCTTATCCACTATGGTCTCTTCATTGTCTGAAATAGTTACAAGAATATGTTAGTGGGATTCATACGTTCTGTCAGTGGACCTTTATCATTTCTTAGTTTATTAAGCAATGAAAAAGTATCCACTTTTTGTGTAATAAGTGCATTTTACTAAAGGCCTTTAGCTATCATATTAAAAGTAAACAAACCAAGAATGTTCTTATAATAATTATTAAAATGTACCTGGCAGTGGTGCGAATTCGTCAATATCCGTCAGCGGCCGCTCCTGTTCAGTCAGATGTGAGTCACTGACTTGATGGACGGACGTCTTACGACCTGCGACCTGTATAACGCTATTATTGTATTACTTACATAAACATAACACCAACTTACACAGAAGTAAGCAAATGTAGAAAAATAATAAATGCAAAACCATGTTTAGAGTAGTACGGAAATAAAATAAAATAAAATACTGAAATAAGATTGAATATTTGTTCATATACTTACAATTTTGAAATAGTACAAAAAACCGTTGAACAACATATAGATATAATAAACATAAAAATGCATGCAAAAGCCAAAACAAAAGTGCAAGCAATATTTAATTAATACACACCAAGATGCGCATTCACATTTTATCCGTTCCTGATTTGTGCGTGTACGTGTATACACGTCTCAATCGCAACAAATTAAATGTAAATGCGCTTTAGAAGAGACAGTGGCACACGTGTCACGTACATGCGCAAGTAACAAACAGCGGGTAACCTGCGGCTTGTTATGTTAGAGCGTGTATGTACTGCATTTAAACCAAATTTTAACTGTCAAGAATCAAAGCTAATAGTTAGATTGAACTATAATTATATTTGACTAGGTATAGCGATTTGGGTAAAACGCAGTCCGCATACGCTCTTAAGTCTTGCAAAATATACGTGACTCAATGGAGCTCAATTTCTTCCATGTCCGATTGGCATTGAGCTCCCTACAAACGCAAACCAGGAATCTAAAATAAAATATATGGAAATTATGGACGTGGGGTGTGCGTTGGGGGCCGTTACCTGCGGGTAGGAGAGCGGTTCGCTGCCGATGGAGACACGTCTGGTGGACCGAACGTTGGGGGCCGAGGCGCGCCGCAGCCCCACGGCGTGCTTCAAGTCCGTCTTGATCATCGTGGACAGGAGCTGCTCGGCCCACGCGACACAATAGTAAGCTCACACGCACTCGTATCCAGTACACGTTGCTATAACTGACCTTATACTACCTTGTACTTTCTACACACTATTTGTGAACTCTATGTTCCCAGGCCTAAGTCCTGAGACTCATGGCTGGTTCTGTAATCGCAACAGTAACAACGTGTGCCGATTCGAGTAGCATGGCGGTGCAATGATTAATACCGGGCATTATGGTTAGTCACCTTAAAGCGGATTGGTCGTAATAAATTGAAACTACATTCAATATAATATTCCCTACACTTCGACACTAAATCGGAGATCTAAACATTCTGCTTTATCTAAAAGAATCCAGGTAAGCGTACATGCGGGAACACCCAAGACGTTCTATAGAAACAGTCACCAATATATACTTCTAATATGGATGCTTCATGCTTATTACCAAAACACAGTACACCATTTTAAAACATTGTCTTTATCAGTATCCCCTATAATTTTCGCTTCAGTCTGGTGTTCCCATAATTTTGTGTTTATTAATGTGGCTAAAAATGCTAAGTAAATGTCCGAAAGGTTGAGTACAAGCACTTGTCTGTGCATTGTGATGCGTAAGCACGAATACTGATGACAATGTTCTCTTGGATATAGCATAACCCACAAATCACAACGGCGTATACCTCCACCCACAAGAGTTTGTACTAATGGTAACAGATAGGACTTTGGAAAAATAGCCATATCGACTAATTTATCGGAGGTTTCCACAACAATGTATCCTCACGGTTATCTATGAAGGAGGCACAATGCCCAGAGTCTTATCTGTTACCTCCACCAAGTTCCCAAATTGGCATAAAGAACTGACCTTGCCAATTCCCATCTCCCTAGGTGCGTCCTCGTCTGAGCTAGATTCGTCTTCATTCATATGGACGTCTGTATCGTCGAATTCATCGAACATGTAGTAGTCTCCCGAACGAATGGCTGTAAATACAAAAAATAAATGAGATACCCCGCAATAAGGTGAAAATAGGCGTAACCTCAAGCAAAAAAAGTTAATGAAATTATATCTTGAATTCATTTTAAGGCTTTTTATCAATTCCTTTTTCTTCAATTTTGAGAGTACAATATGATACATATCGGAACGATGTAATAAAAAATAGCAATTATATCAGGTTACGCCTATCAGAATAATAGAAAGCAGTTTACAAGGATATATTCAGCACAAGCTTTTAAAGATATAGTCTATAATTTTCTATAAACATCATGCTTTAATAAGTAACGTAAGAGGCGAAATAAAAATAATAAAGGTACTTTTAAAATAACAATCAATAAAATAAGTTTCACAAAACACAGTGTTAGTTGCAGTCACGCCCAAAAAGCATGCACTATTGTGTTTAGTATGCGTGAAGTTAGAAGTACAGGCAGTGTAGGTAACATAGCAGTAGCATGCAGACATTCGACTATGGCACAAACAGCCGCACGGACATGTAAAGCCGACAACCGGCGCATTCTGTCTTAAGTCTGTTTATTTACAACATTCAACTTTAATACAAAATATACACGTTCCATGAGACATAAAAACAATAAGACAGTTCCCGCCAATACGATGCACTCTGCCTAAATACTGTAACCGACAAGCCGAGGAGGGGTTAGTAACGCATTATGATTCTATAGGGAGCCTTGTTCATGAACTTTACCCTTCTGATGGCTTGATGGCGGCCTATACGTTGTTCTGTCCCGCGCTACAAGAGAAAAGCATTACTCAACAGCAGCTCGCACACCAACCGAATTTATTAAAAGTGGTCTTAGTATTCACAAGTATTAACACCTTTTACTTTCGTGCCATCCAAAATCAGGAAATATTAATGAAGCTACTTGTAGTAGTTAAATATGGACATCACAGCTGGCAAGACATGATAAATATGGCCTGATGTGATTCTCCCTGAAGTGGGCCTGCTTTAAGACAATTATTTGAAATTGTATAAACGATAAGTTTTTTTGCGTCTATTTTACTATAGTCAAATGGAATACGGAAAGTATAGATTTAGCATGTAAATAAAAGACTATATTGGAGTCAATTATTTACAAAAGAAATGTCATGTCTTTAGTTCTACTCTGAACGACCAGCGCACAGTGAAGGATAATTATAACAAACACCTCCAACACCTGAGAGACGACCACGAATATTTACCTTCGTGTCTCTTCGAGAACACACGTTTACCTCGTTTCTCGGAACCTGACTCTATCCCTAAACGAAAGGGAAAAACACATATAGTACAAGTTTATAATAAATTATGCTATACATTATATACACGGTGACAACCACGGTGTATGTTCAACCGGTCGTGAGCGAGCGATGTAAGTTCGGTGCCGTTACACGTGTGGTGCGAGTGAGGCTCGACGCGGCTGGCCTGCGACAGCACGGAGTGTCGCTGCAGGCTGGGGCTGGCCACCGTGTGCCGCCGGCGGATGGGCGGCGGCGAGAACACTGGGTACGACTCCTCCGGGCTCGTCGCGCGCGCCAGCAGCTCCGACGACGGCGGCGACTCGAACGATATGCGCCGCGGCTCCAGGTACGCGTCCAGGGACACCGTCATCAGGGCAGACGATGGGGAAGGAGGCCCACCCTGTGACACCGGGGCCGAGGGAGCGGGAAGAGCGGGCAGGGTAGAGGGCGGAGGCGGGGCGGTGCGGACTGGAGTGGGCGGGGCGGAGGGCTCGCTGAGCGGGGTGTGGAAGCCGCGCGGTGAGGCGGGGCTGTCGGGTGTATGATACCCGCGCGCCGAGGCTTCAGACTCGCCACGTACGAGGGCCACTTGCTCAGACTCGCCCGCCATAGTCTCTTCCTCCTCGTCTGATCCAATAGTGCAGCGCGAAGAAAATCGTCACAGAAAAATTAATCCTCACCCAATCTTTTTGGAGCCGTCAGTTTTGTTCCTAGTTGTGTCACGTTCATTCTTTCATGTATAATATGCCTATGTAACTACAATATAATAGTAGACACATGTGCTACGCATAACAATCACTCTTGTAAATATCGAACTTACTTTTATATACCTACTCTATATTATATCTAAGTAGTCGAAAGTATAGATGGCAATTACATATTAACTGGGAGATACGTTCTCAATAAATACTACCTACAAGAGTAATAATATAAAACAAACCAATATCATGATGCGCGGGTTCTTTCGCTATTGCCCCTTGAATCTTTTTCTGATTTGCCTTAATCCTTTCCATTTTCACTTTGATTTTCTCCAAGATTTTCATCTCTTGGTCTTCCTGTATTTTCATTTGTTTTTGTCGGAGTTCCTCTATTAATTCTGCACCTCTGTTTAAATTAAAAATTGATTTCATAGATGTAAAAAGTTGATTGAACACAATCGGATGCAATTTGCTAATGATATTACTTATAATACTTCAATCGTAACAAAATGTAATATGCCTTACCTCGAAGCAAGTACTGTAGTAGCCTTGCTTTCGTCGATAACTCTGTAGAAATAATAACTATGGAACAATCTCCTCTGTAAGATGAGGAAGGCGAAGCAAACACCATCCCATGCTAATCCTATATCTTCTTGAGGTACGGAACAGGCCGCCTCCTAGAGCAATATGAAAGAAAAATACATTAGCGTTATCGCATATCTTAAAATAGCTAGCAAATGTAACTAAAAAGCCAATTTTTCAGGTATGTAAGATTGTAGTATGCTTTTTAATTTTATAGCATAGTGTTTTTAAACACATACTTAAAATGTAACACTTACATGTAGATAAAACAATAGGGTTATTTATTAAACTCAGTGGGTACCAACTATACAATTTGTAGTCTCAAACAATAACGGCTTATTGCTTTTAAAATCTGCACTTACCTTAACATACTGCATCTTAAGGAACCTGGCGATATTTCCCCCAGCGAATTTGTCCACACATCCGATACCCAGCAGCTGGACCAGCCAGCAGGCGTGTTCCTGCATCACTGAGCTGAATATACAGCCCGGGATCTGAAGCAACGTCTTCACCACTACCACTGACACGTTGTAACGAACTAACCATGACCACCTGTTTCACAACCAAAAAAGGTTTTAACCTAGTGAAATTTTCTTTGTGTTTTGCTTTCATAAAGAACATTGTCCTATATTTAACTAGATAGAACTTCTCACTTGGAGCAGTAGGATTACATGGATTTGTCGCTGCCAACTAGCTTAGTTTGCTATTCAACTAATGGCCTAAATGACCAGTCGATTGAACCAATGGCTGAATTTCTTATTTAGACCGTTAGTTGAATGGTCAAGGGATTTTCATTAAAACCTAGTTGCTACTAGAATGGTAGGTTAGGTTAAAACTGCGACTGCATAGCTTATTTACCTATTTCTTTACGACAGATACACAAGAAATGTCGAGAAACTACATAAACAATTGACTCCACTCACCATTTCAAAATAGCATCTTTAGGACGCAAGTAGAAGTCAGTTCCTTGCCAGAGGAATATAAAGGAGCCGATGAGATACCCCATGGAGAACAGGTTCACTCGATTGGTGCCCGTCATGAACATGATGGCCAGCGTAACCCATAACATACCCAAGAACACCATGCGTTTCACAACGTCCAACCAGGTCCTGATACGGAAAATAAAATACGTTCATAAGAATTAAAAAATGATGCACGTAAAGTTCATGAGTCAATTAAAACATTTTAATTAGCACAGGCTAAGTAGAAATAAACAACCACTTTTATAGTTTTCAACTAATCTTTGTGACCATGTGGCCTGCTTAAAGACTGTAGCGAGATATTGTGTTACAACTAGCGAGTTTAACAACAAGTATTCGAAATAATCAGAATGCGAGACAATTTAAAACTGAATTATTTTTCATACTTATCTTACTCAATACACTACAAAAATAAGGAAAAAAAAACATACTAACCCAACATAACCAAGGAAATCTGGTACAGGGTTAACAAAATCGGGTGTTTCCCAATTTTTACCAATATTCTCTTCGTTTGAGCCTCCGGCGTAGTTCGTGGAGTTCTTTTCTATGCGGAATACCTTCAGCTGGCGAGTCGCGAACAATAATAGGAAGAAATCAAAGATCAGCTTGTATGCGTGTGGAGGTTGTTCTGCATATGGCAGGAACAGCCATGTACGGACATGTTTCATTTGCTGAAAACAAAAAATAATAATTAAAACCATGATTTTAATGGTAAACTCTCCTTACGTTTACTACTAACTAATGAGAAAACAATTGTAATGTGATGGTTTACTTAATATTAAGGTAGCTATCAATGTTGTACAAAGTGTCTGCTAATATACAATGTACCTATTATTGATTATTATGTAAACAACTAGTTCCTCACTCCCGAAATTATTAATTTTGCTTCATAGGTACCTACTCCACACCTCGATATCAATAAGGTGACAACATCAGTTAGCAATTTAAGCTACTTTTTCTGTGTGACAAAGAGAATTTGACAATAAAATGAACAGATATTACCACAAATTAACTAAAAATCACGGATTACTCATTACAGAATACTGAGAAGAACTCTACTAGTTTCGGATCACAGAAAGGTTCTTCCTCATGAGCAGCGTGCGCGGTCGCCGCGACCGTCGTAGAGCTTTTCTCAGTATTTTCACGTGAGTAAATCAGCGATTTTTAGTTAATTTAGTAAATCTCATGATAGTTATTATAAATACCTACTGACAAAACTAATCATACTGTAAAATGAATCTAAATTACACTAGATGATATTGCAGTATTATTAATACGGACCAAAATATACTGATTACCGTACATCAAAAACAAACGTCCTCACCAACTCGTTGTACAAATTAGTCAATTCCTAAGGACGAAAAAAATTAAACAGATGTAAATGAAAAGCAAAATTGTACCTCTATCATAATTTAGGTACAATTAAATAAAGTGTATAATATTATTAAAAGGACAAAAGAATAGTGGCTTACTCATAGGACTTATGTAAGATAAAATATACTATTTCGGCGTCAAGACACGGTACGCGCTGATTGTACCTTATATGGGCTAGCATAGCGTTCATTTTCGCTTAACCTCAAAAAAGTTATAGATGTTGTTACCTGATCGTCAGAATCCCACGGGTAAGAAACACAAAGCTCCGGTAGGAAGCCCACAGCAATCATATACTGGATGGGTACAAGGAACGTGATAGTGGCTGTGAACGTACTCCACAACCTACTCTGCGCGACTCGCTTTATGGAGACCAGTACTAGCAACCACGCCGCGTACAATACTGCGTACACGTCCATACGAGACCCGATCACACCCATTAAACAGATCATGGTTATCTATAACAAATTATGAAGATATTTTAACACATAACATAACATCACTTAATGCCACTGTACAACGTAACACCCACATTTAACTATTTATTTTATGAGTCCCATGTAATAGGGGGTGAGCCTATTGCCATATACCGGGCACAATTCCAGACTCCGTTTTACTAGTGAGATTTTTTTAAAACCTAGTAATACTTTACTCGATCCGGGAATCGAACCCGAGACCTTTTGCCCGACAGTCGCACTTGCAACCATTTAGCCAACGAGGCAGTCAAGATATTTTAATATCAGCATTATGCAGGTAGTACATTATTATAGTATGTATGTGCATAGTGGATGGTATTAGCACATGCTTACCTCCACACCAAACTTATAGAATCCATAGTTAATCAAGTATTTGATGCAGTGGATCAGGTCTATGTCTGCCTCCTTGCGAGTTATATCAGGGAATATTGTTTTTATTCTCTCTTTTGGTAAAGCGCCAGATTCTCTGTTAAAAAAAGAAAAAGAAAATGTAACTACAAAAATATAATAAAAAGAAATAAGTACTAAGCAAATTGAATGTTTTAAACCTCAGCGCTTTTTGTCTATATGTCACTAGGGCATAGAATATGAATACAGCTAAAAGTCCGATGTATCCTTTTAGAACGACCACTAAGGGCTTTTCATTTGTAGCTTTCGTAAACCCAAGCCATTCAGCGTTGTTATATGCCGATGACGACGAATTCGAAAACTTGATATCGAAAAGCTGAAAACGAAAAAAAAAAATTAATTTTCATGTTTCACGAACGATAGTTACGTACATATTTATTCAAACACTTACGCCGGCAATAGAGCAGTTGACATCAAAACTACGATGCTTGATGTAACCGATCTGGTAGACCATCTTAGCCATGAAATATATACTGATTAGTGTCGATATAAAGAGCACGCAGACTCGTTGTTTCGACGCGTTGAGCCACAATGCCGGTGCAATTATCAACATTATAGGCACATGCATGGCACACACCTGTAATGATAGAAACAATATTTAGCAAAAAAACCTTAGCTACATCAAAAACTTCTAAACATTGTAAGTTGAATTATAAAGTTTCATTGTGAGCGTGAACAATGTGAATAGCCTTTTTGATCATTTAAGCAGATTTTAAAGCTCAATCCCAGTTTTAATGAAAGACCGAATATGAAGTAAACATATGTGGATTTTGTGGATGACCTACATTCATAACACAAAGCAGCATCAGGGATATGAAGACGATCTTGATGAGATGTAGGTCCAAGTACATGAAGATCCGGTCAATGATCTCCTGTGCAGTGTGTTTGGATGCGTTGTATGTGCGCTTCACCAACGACCACAGCGCAGTTGAAGGTCGTTCTGTTACCGGAGACCGCAAGTTCGTACGGGACATCGAAAATTGTCTACTAAAATATAAATAGGTACTGTTAGTGTTATAAACAGAACTAATAAGTAAATTAAAAATTTTAAACAAAATAGAATACTCTGCAGATAGCGTTAATGGAGAATAAGGTCCACTTCGTCTAATCACTGCAGATGTCAAGACTTTTACGTTAAATAGCTTATTGAGCTTATCGAATAGTGTAATGGACAAGAAACCTTAATTTTTGCTAACACTTCTGTCACTAAATTCAGGCACAATAGCCAACAACAATACAGAATTGATTAAATACTTTAACGTTAAAAATCCAACTAATACTCAGTGAAAATACTTTGAAAAATCAACATTTCTACTATTACTGGCTAGTACTAAAAACTTGAAACTGTCGAACAAAGAAATGATAAAAATATAAAAACGAAACCAACCTTTGCATTAACTTCTGTTGGCCAGTTAGTGAAGATACTTCCAATGACTGATCTGGCTCTGTCGCAGTCGAACGAGGATTTGTATCTTCAGAAGGTAGTGGTGGCAACTACAACGTGACAAAGGATATAATTGTAAATGAGCTTAACAGTTAGACAAATTTTCATTGTGTTCTGAAGCAATTACAAGTTTATTTTCAATTAATTTAGTATGTCTCACGGTATTTATTTTGAGGCAATCTTTATAAGCCTATTGTTTCCTTTCCTATGACTTACATCATCTCTCATCGTAGAGGCACCATCTTGACTTGGTTTACCAGACTCTGGATTGTTGGGTGCTATACTATTTGTTCTGAAAAGATATGAAACGACACTTTTTATTAAAATCTTAATGATCAATTAGATATATTTAATTTTATGTCAGATACACTCACCTCGTCTTAGGATCCGATAATGCCATAAAATCTTTATGGAAATAATGAACCTGCAATATTGTTATGATGAGGAACAACGTCGGTGTTAATAGTTTGACAAACAAATCCGCCGGATGGTACGGTTCTAATCCCAAATCTTGTTGTCTGAAAAGAAATATCACGATTAAATACACGTTTAAACTTTATTTCTTTGGTATTAAAATATAAATTAAGGTGTCATCTTTCAGACATTTTTACTTACAAACTTTCGTTGATAAACATATATTTTTCAATCAATTTTGAAAAGTTGTCGAATTGATAAATGTAGATCAAAATAAGATTTATCATTGAGTAGATGATGACCACTATCCAAAACATGTACAATGTTTTTCGCCACCAATACCAACTTATCTGAAATCAAAATTAATATCACTCGCAAACTCCCACACTGAGAAAAATCGCAATAAGTAGATAAAAGTGAAAAACTGTAGAAATTGTAACTATTCTAGTTTTAAATACATTTTAAATAGTTTGTTTCTATAGCACCGAGGTACAAATAAAATAAAATGAGTACCAGAATTATTTATTATCTTCATCATTAATCATCATTATCTACCTATTTGAGTTTTAAAGTATGAGGATACTTTCTGAAAGTAGATATACTTATATTTACCTGGAACATGAGTATAAAAGCGAGGAAGAGGAACATGTAAATGATGCGGAATATGGTCATGCGCTCGCCGGTGATGCCAATGACGAACAGCATGATGACCACGACGTATATCCAGTAGCGTGCGCACAACGCTCGCATCACCTCGCCCAGTGCGCGCAGCAGACGAGAACGACTCTCCTCCTCACGTCTCGCGTCCATTACTATACAGACACAAGTATACAAAGCTTTACTCCTTAGTTACAGTAGTAGAATAATTTATTCTTCGCAACGACCTTCACTATGTAAAGCAAACAAATATTGCCGCTTGAAATCGCGAATCGCGTCGGCTTGATTGATAAGAAAGTTTAAGGCTTGTATTATGCTAGAACTAGAAAAGGTGGTGTTTCCTTAACCAAATGAGTTTTATTGCAATTGTTAAGAAAAAAATATTTAAATGATCTGTGTCTAACAGTCTTGAAATTTATCTTCAATTCAAAACGACTAAACAGGTCTTACAACAGATGGTAAACAAATAGCTAAATGACAAAGAAAAACGAAAACAATTTATACGTAGTAAGTAGGACCTGTCGAGTCTTTCTTGTGTATAAATATTCACAAAGTTCAGGGGTGAATTGATTTCAAGTTATAATAGTGCTGACGTTACTCCCTTTTCTAAGGTAAGATTATTAAAATTTTGTCAAATAAGAAATATAGTAGTCCTAAGCTAATAGAGTGTAAAATAACCTTGTGTTCGTTTAAATAGAAATGGGTGGTCAGAGTTCAGAGTGTTAAGCAGTTAAGAGTTTTGGCTGAAAACAATAATAAGACAAGATTTAAATGAAGATATTTCTTAAAGAGAAGCAGAAGACAGAAGTTATCACAAGTATTATTATATTACCGTGTACAAGACCTGTCCCAGGGTAGAGATAAAAAAGAAAACAAGTTGAAATAATTTCCAGAATATTTCAAAGGTCTTTATGAAAGTCTATTAATTTTTGTCTTGGCATAATTATTTCAGAGAACCTAAAGAACATGGCAATACAGTCGAAAATTCAATCAGACTTACCACTAGCTGCAGTGGAAGCAGTGAGTTGGAGAGGAGCCGCCATATCTGCGATGACAGAGGACTGCCGCCTTTGTCTTATGTCCTGGATGCGTTGGCGTAGTGTCACCCAAAACATGCATGTGAACAAGGACTTAATCAAAAGGGGAAAGAATGGTTCCCCTTCAACACGACCTAAACCTATCTGATGGAGATTCACTTCCTGAAAAAAGAAGAAAATATAAGGTATAGTCTATACCGTATAGAAGATTCAAATACGATTTCGTTGATAAACTAATGGCAACAGTTGGTGTTTATTGAAAGCATGTTCCGTTGTTTACACGCGAAATGTCATGTTTAAAATGAGAGGTATTTGAGCGGGGGTTTCGTTCGACAACATTTCTTCCGATGTTTGTTAAACATCAGTTAGTGAATACTTTTAAAACTATTTTATTATTATTTATGTAACGTTACATTTTGTAAATAAGATGGTAGACTCACCGTAATATTACTAGGTAATTCTGTCTCGTAAAGGTTCATGCCGTATATGTATTGCGCTATAAGCAGTAACATCGCATAGCAGACGAGTATGGGGCTGGTCTTCAGCATGAAACCACGCTGGTCGTGACAGAGCCACACGATGTTCGCCCACATGAGGAAGACGAAGGTCAGCCACGAATGGAACATTATACTCCACGCCATCATCGTGATCGTCGTAGCTATGTACGAGGACCTGCAAGAATAATTGTAACGAAATCACAAAATGTTTTGAAAAGCCAATTAAGACGAACCATGTTTACATGTTTTGCGCAATTAATGCGCAGAAATTGCGCAAAATTCCTTTTAAGCATGTACTAAGAATAAGATAAAGCTTGTTAGCACTAACCTGACTAGAACTTGGAAGAAATCAACGATTGCTGTTAAAATGTCATCCATCAAAGTAGGCTCACTTTCTTCTATTACAGATTCTGCAACAAACAAAAGATAGTGTAAAATTCGTATGCAACTGAAAATTAATAAATGACAGACTGAAATGGTTACTTACCATCTTCATGTAGAACAACGGAACCTGTGGAGTCTTGCCGCATTTGTCTCGTTGCGGATCCGGTCGGCGTAACTGTCCATCGTTTCGAAGAATTCACACGAATAAGCTAAACATTAATAAAAAAATGAAACATAATAATCGATTAATATATTGGTTGTTTATTATTTTTCAAAAATCGAGAATTTACGAAGAATATTTTAAATAGTCATCATAATTAAAATAGTTTTGGAGGCTATTTATAGTTCTTTAAAACTAATTTTCTTTAAAAAATCTGGGGGATGATGTAAAACATATATTTTATAATAGTGCTTGCACAAACAACAATCAACCATACGACACAACATCAACATGATATAATATATGTATCTACAAACTTATTAAACGAAACGTTAGTGCTTTGTGTAAAACATATAATTTGTTAGATCGATGAACGTCAATATACATAAATAGATATAGACCAAGCATTAAAGATCTCTTTTATATTGAGAGATTTATTTAAGCTTTCATTATTCCGGTCATAGTTAGGATTTTAATAACAGGTGAATATGCAGCCAAGGAATACAAACTTTGTATGGATGTGCGAAAAATTGGAGCACTTACTTATTTGTAAAGTTTTTGTCTCCGCAGTAGAGGAAAAACACAGTAGTAAATGACATTGACCCGACAAAATAAAGCACTAGACAAAAGTGGATAATTATCAGAAAATCTGTACAACAAAGCATTGTATTACTCGGCTCGAATACTCACAAGGTTTCCCACAAACACAAAACATAGATAAAAACAAAAGAAGATACCTACAGGGTCGGTCTCACGGGCTTCACTGCGTGGTATTTTGGTATTTACGTATGAAAGTGCACCCTATAAAAGAACGAAAGCTGGTTGCAAAAACAAACAAAAAAAGTAAGTACATACAAAGAAAATTAAAAATGTCAAAATAAACCAAAATCAACTCCAGTTCTGTGTACAGCAGAAGCTCCCATGCTTTGTCCATGGTAGTTGAGTCCCAACAATTTTGAGTTGTTATTAATTAGTTACAAATTATCTACAAGAAAGTGCCATGCAGTAGTCTATGTACAAAATAATTGATGAACCAAGTAGTAACCAGGGATTTTAGTGTTGCACTAACTACGTTTGAAAAATAATTCACAAGATCACATAATAACTTTTGAGTGCCTTTTTGATGCAGATGCTGCTAATAACTACATGCTGAAATATTGAAAATGAATATTAGAAAATGCAAATCTTCATTCATAATCTATGAAAAGAGTACTACATGTTGTAAATACAAATGGATGTGTGCATTAACGACACTGTGATGTATTCGCGGGAAGCTTACTCGAACTCTTTTAGTGGCATTCTTCCATTTATCCCGAGCGGCGCGTCGACTGCCGCGGTGGAAGGATATGCCGCGCACCAACGAACCGTTCAGCTTACCCTCTTCCAAGCCGGATAGGGCGCTCTTTTTTTTCGCCTAAGTTCCCAGTTAGATAGCATAAGAATCAGATTCTAATAACTTTAATACAACTCTAAGATATTTCAAAAATATTATAAGTCAAACCAAACACAACCGCTACCTTTCATTTCAGACCATACTGATTACTTAGATATTTATAGTAATAATATCCTTGATCCCTCTGTTACTACATATTTACAAATAGTGTAAACTCGCAGTTATAAAGTAATACAGGCCAATATCTTAGCATATAAAAACATTAGTATTACAAAGTACCAATCTCATATTATTTAAGAAGCATAATAGCTGGTATTATTTGTGTTATTCAGTATATAATAATATTTAATGTTTGTTAACTCACAATGCAATACTACTGAGTCTAAATTAGTATGCATACATACCTTCGGTTTGAACAGTTGTCGAGTTTCGATTGCGAGAACGAAATAAGTGAATAGTATGACAAAAGGGCTCGCTAGTGATGCCCACATGTGGTCGTCCGATACTTCGTAAGTAAAGAGTTTTGTATTCGTACTGTTGATTAGTACTAGTCTTGTTAAGCCAAAATACCTGTAAATTAATATAACTTACGCATAAAAAACTGCATTTATTAAACCTGACTAAACTATCTATCTAAATATTTAGACTGCCTCGTTGGCCGAGTGGTCGCAACGCAAGTGCGACTGCCGGGCTAAGGGTCTAAGGTTCGATTCCCGGGTCGAGCAAAGTATTACTGGGTTTTTAAACAAAACTCAGTAGTAGCAAGGAGACTGGAATTGTGCTCAGTATAATTATGGCAATAGGCTCACCCCTTTTACATGGGACTCATAAATAGTAAAAAGTGGGTGTTACGTTGTACAATAGCATAAAGTACCGTAATGTGCACCTCTTTTACAACACATAACATCACGCGTTTTATCCCCGAAAGGGTAGGCCCCTTTCGGGGATAAAACGCGTGATGTTATGTGTTGTAAATATCTAAATTGTATAATAATATTAACATACTCTAAGCCCCAAGCCCTAGGCTAATGTGGAAATCCTTGTTGTATGTGTGTATTTCCAAAAACCTTAGTGTTAACACTCTTACCTAGCAAATTCCTTTTCTGGTGGATATAGTTCTGCAACCCAAGAGCATTGGTATACTAATAGCACGATGACGTGGACGGACATGATGGCCATGACACAGCGACAGACGACTGCAAACCCTCGATTGAGTGGTTGGCCCAGGGCCCACGCAGTGGCCGACCCCATAAACACGAGGAAGTAGATCCCAGACGTAATGCTTGGTCGCATGATGGCGGAAAACATTATTAAGATCAGGCAGATATATTTCCCTGAAAATGCCAAAACAAAATAGACCAGTTACTAGCAAAATTTAGCATTAAATTTTTTTACATTTTTGGGTGAAATAATAGTGTGTGGACTAAATACTAGTACGTACACAAACACAGGTTGTTTTGTTTTTAAACAGATAGTGTATCGATAATTATTATAGAAATATAGAAAAGAACGAAAGGGGATAGAATATTTTATTATTTCTTCCATCCTCTCTCGAATTACATTTTTATCTTATAATTTTGAAGTTTACCTGCACTTGTTACAAGTGGATACTGTTGATGTTTGCTGTCAGATTTAGACGGTATCGGCGCGGTAGGACCCGTCACCAACCTTTTGACTAGGACATATACGAATAGAGATATCGCCGTCATCAAAATCTGAAATTATTAAAAAGAACTTTAATATTATTTAGTCAAATGTCACACACTACATAGGTCCAATAACAAACACCAATTACATAGGTCATTATAGCCTATAATCGCCTATGTAATTCACGTTTGGTTATAATTTATAGGTATTTCTATCTTTACTACTTGTACTATCTTTAGCGTTAAGAAATTAACAATGAATAATAAATTAATCAAAAGGTACATTATAATTACCTCGGGTAGCATGTAATTTATGGCCATAAATGGATCTATTGAGGAGTAAGACACAAAGCCCAGATTGTGGCCCACAATATCGAGTATAGGGTAGGCTTGCAGGATGGACCCATAAGGACCCGTCACTGCAAGCAGTGTGTGCCACGCTATGTGCAAGGACATCAACAGGAACGATAACACTACGGTTAGTAACAAATATGTGCCGCGCCATCCTGGAACAAACGATATAATTGTTAAGCTTTACTTAGCCAGGTATATATTTTCGTAGGACACACAAGGTCAACTTCCGTAATAAGTTACCTAACTTGAGCCTAGGATATAAATTAGAGGGAGACTACGTGTTTGTATCTTGGTATCTTACCTGTACATCTGTCTGATAAATGAAACTTGCTCTGCTGTCTGACAAATTTATGGGTGGTAGGTTAATAACCATCTGCAACTGTGTTATTCTTACTCCTATTTATTTACAATTTTTAATTTTCTTCAAATACTAGTTAACTAGATAAGTTTACAAAGGTTTGAGTCGAGATAAAGCACTTGTGTCGGCAACACGACCCCAATAGATTGTTCCGCTATATATTTATCCGAATGGAATCGATCGGCGCTAAGATAAAGTAATTTGTATTTTATTGCTTATGCTTGAACGCAGGAAAACCTTTTTGTATCGAGCGAAGGAAGGAAAACAATAGTACTTAACAACTTAACTTAGGTAATATTTTCATACAATTATTTATTTTATAATTTCTCACCTTTGAATGTTCGACTGTCCGGAACAAATGTGAGCGGTGCTAATAAAAACAGCAGTAGATATACTAATGAGATGCCAAACGGTCGTAATGCTATACCTGAAAAAAAAAATACAAATATTTTAATAAGTAATATGGTTTGCTCGCCTAACTGTTGGGAGAGGTTACTCGACGACTTTCAAGCGCATATAAGGGCCCACAATCATGAGCAATTTTCAAGTCGATGCAAACAACGCGCGTATAAAAAAAGTAATTTAATATAGAAAAAATCACTTATAATAAAAATAGCACAAAGAAGGGTAAACATAATAAACAATGCTGATAGCTGTTAGTCATAACAGTCATGTTACCTCACTAATTATTATAGAATAGGTGACAATGTGACATTTCATAGTGTGGATATAACAACTCGGTGTTAAAATAAAATGAAACGCAAAAACCTTTGTAACAAAACAGCCCTTTACAACTAAATTGAATGAAACCAAAAAAAGAAAACTGCTGAAACACGAAAGGAAAGTCAATAAGGGGAAAGTCGCAGACACGATAAATCACAGGCTCAAGGCGCCGCCGGCCGGCAATAGGACGTCCAGAATTGTTTTAGCCTCCTTTACGTAACTTATAAGTAGCTGTATAGACGTCTAGCTCTTAAATGTTTATTCTGAACATACCAGATTAACCGGATTTTTATTCACTTGCTCGAAGTAATTTTGGTATGGTGATAAACGTTTTCCATGCTCGGCTGCTTTTATTTATGTTCAGAGATTTTGGTTTAAACTATTTAGACGTTAAAGAGCTTGTAGTCCAAGTAAGAATTCTTTAAAATTTGTAAGTAGGTATGTACTCCTGGACTTTTCATAATAATTTTGATACAATGCCAATATCTCAGCAATTATTTTTTCTCATTTATGTGCATTTTATTAAGAACAATAAAATAAACTGATAGAGAGGTACCTACTACTTATTATGAAAATCTTTTATTACACAGTATCAAGGTAAATCACTTCTTAAATTCTAAAACTTCGAACGAAGCTATAAATAAACGAGTCGGCTATCGAGTTAGTAAATAACAATGACATTGAACTAGCTTGGAGTTCGTAGCACTAGCAGATGTTTATTCGAAAACTATTGCATCTTGCACTGCTTGGGAAATATTTAGAAATATCTGCATCTCCAGTCTATGTCTAATAATAATTATTTGTTTAACAACATAGCATTCTAGAAACGCCTGGAATTTATTTGTTTTTAAACTTACGGATATTTGCTTCCCTGTATTTAGGATATTTAATGTTACATTAATTTATTTTGAACCACAGGCAGTAGGCATAGGGTATTTATACATAACATGATTAATGAGATAGACTAAATTTATTAGACCATTTGGTTTACAAATATAAGAGCAATGAAAAGCTATAACGATGGAAGAGCACACTATATTGTCGGGCCCCGTTCGTTATGGCGGCCCCAAATGCCACAGTAACATTTAGAATTTGTTCCACTTCGTTTTATACCCTGCCCTATTTCTTCTCACATCCTACCGCTGACATGCCGTGGTTTGTTATTTTCTTTCTATCTAAACAGGAGATGCCAAAACTGTTTTACATAAAATAAACTAATAATCAATATATGTTACAAATTTGCAATAAAAATGAATGAGATCAGTTATCGGGTGGATGTTGAATGCAGATAAATCAAATCAACACTATCAAATATAAATATGGAAGTCGGTTTATAGTGCACGTAGGTGTCAATTGATATCAAGTACATATTTCAGATATCATTGACATTAAAGTTAATAGCCACTTGTGATGTTAATTTAAATAAAAAACTTGTCAAGTGTGATTCGCGCTGGGAGGGTTCCGTAACACTATTTATTCCATTTTTGTATATATTCTTTGTCGTGTGATGTTATGATTGTTATGTTCTTTTTATTTATTTGTTGTTATACCCGTTAACATAAACAGGCAAATGTCTGAGTTAAGTGAGTAGTGTGAGTACCTACAATACATCTAAATTGGTGGATGAATACCATTAGGAACCAATGAGGAAAAAAATAAACAGACACACACACAACTATAAACACCTAAGTTTGAAATTTGATTTAACGATAGGAGCTAACATTTGTAGCACCAGGGAAAAATGACTCAACAGATTCATATTTTTATGAGGCATTTACTATTTCCGTTAGTCATTTTTCTGTAATTGAAATACATCATAGCCATTTATGCTAACTGCATACTAGATATTGCTTCATTGTAAGAAAGAAAATAGCATATCGACGACAATAAATAGTGTCATTATATAGACCTATGTTATCGGGTATTTTTACTAAGGAGTTTATATAGGAAAGTATTTACAGGAACCAGTACCAACTTTACGGTACAGCAAATTACCGCACGGAGCAAATCTTTGTATGATTCACAAATTGTTGTTTCCGGTCTGTGTGTGATGTGTCTGTGAACTTGTACGTTTGTAAATGCACTCACGATACAGGGCAGTGGGGCAACGTTAAAAGAAAATAAAAATTTCACAAGGGCCCCGAATTATTGTGTGCCCAAGGGCCCCAGCGTAGTCCAAAGACGGCCCTGACCGTAGTACGTCACGATATACCATACTGTGTGGGTACTTAGTAAAAAAGTTTAAGATCTTAACAATTGAAAACCACAATTGACCAAGCCCAAATACAGTTGTAGAGTACCGAAAATGTGCACTATGCAGTAAGAGATAAAATTCCATTCAGTAAATACAGAAACAATTATATGTTTGAGAAAGTTTGTGCGACCTCTCAGATTTGGGGACATTTTTGGGGCTATTCAATAATTTCACAATGACGACGGAAGTAATAAAAAATAATAGCTTGTTACTTATGCCAAAAGAGATGTGATATGGATACGAACTGAATAACTAAAGAGCTTAGAGCTTGAATTTGGATAGGCAAGTTAGTCTAACTAGTCACGAGGGCCTACTTTCCTAGAATGCCAACTTTGCCATGATTTCATCATAATAAGTGAATATATCCCTTAGTACTTATAATAAATTAGTAGTCAAATAGTGTAAGTAGATAATTACTAAACAAGTATCAGTCAGCCAACCATAATATGCATAGTTTACTATTATTTGAATTAATTTGTTATGCGACATCACAAATTATGTAAGCAAACATGTTTTATCTATGTAGGTTTATTTATAGATTAAAACGATTATATTAATAAAATGAAGTTTGAGTATTGTATAGACAGGGATTGCTACTTACGTTCACGCTTTTATCATAATAAAAATATTAAAATGAATTTTATCCAGAAAATATGAGGCACGCCCAATTGAATTGAGAAAAGATAGGTATCTACTTAGTCGAGGAATATTTTTTTATATAATTTTAAGGAGAATATTTCCGTCATACATGATTTCTATGTAGCTTTAACCTCTATGCCTGCACACGCGACGGAAGCTTAAAAAATGGAGTAACTTCTCCCGTTTTCCCAATATTTCCCTTCACTGCTCTGCTCCTATTGATTGTAGCGTAATGAAAAGTATACTATAACCTGCCCAAGAGTATGAAGAATAATTGTGCCAAATTTCGTTAAAATCCATCGAGTAGTTTTTGTTTCCATAACGAACATACAGACAGACAGACAGACAGACAAAAATTTTACTGATTGCATTTTTGGCATCAGTAGCGATCCCTAACCACCCCTTGATAGTTATTTTTTAAATATATTTTATGTACAGAATTGACCTCTCTACAGATTTATTATAAGTATATATATATATAGAAGATAATATTACTATTTTTATAACACCTGAAATACCTAAACCTATTACTTAATGGCCTATCATATTTTTTTGCCCGTAATGGATACTGTAATGTAAATATTGCAGTTCTTAATATTTATCTTATCGATATCGATACGCCAACTGAAAGATTACGAAGTCGAGTGCAACATTTGCGAATTTCTTATTATGATTAAGAACTGAACTGTGTCAGGTTTATTTACTAAAATACCATTAATGTGATTCATGATTGTGTTAATTTTAGTACTTAAATATTGCACTGCGGGAAAATTATATTTATGCACCATATCAGTACGTACCACAAATATTAATTAATAATTATATTATTATGGGTATACTGTGAGGATTATTAGCCGAATTAACTATTAGACCTCATTAACTATCAGCTTATTTTGGTTTATTATATGTTTGTAACATATTCTAATAATAATAAAAAAATAAACACACATTATAATCAACAAATCAACACGCCATTTGCAAAAATTATAATGTAGGTACGGGATGCCGAACTACTTCGTATAGGTACAGATAAGGCACTAAAAATCTGAGTCACACAGATTCTAAACCTTTGCATGTGCGCCACGACAAGAATTCATTCTGATTCATTCATTAGCATCATATAACCAAAACTGAAGACAGACATTTTTCTCGTAAATGGTACTTACGCATAGGCATCTAATAAATAGTTCTTAACTTGACTGTTTTGAGGGGAATTAATCTATTAATTGGACTTTACATGAGAAGTATGTGTGGAGTAAAAATTAAGTGACCGAGTGAAAAATACAATTATTAGAGAAAGGTGTAGATTGAAAGACGATGTAGTGACAAGGATTCAAAAGGGTTACGATGGTTTGCACATGTAGAATTTGTAGAAAGGATGGATGAAAGCAGAGTTACGAAAGAAGTACCTATAGGTACAGAACGAGTAGAGTGCGCCCCAGACGGACTCATATCGACCAGATTGGCTATATATTAAAGAAGGGCCAAATTAAATGTACGCTTAAACGACAATCATGCATGAAAAGACTGATGACCATGTTCCATATAGTCTCTGCCCAACCAAAATAGTATGTACTATCTATGGGATTACATCGATGAGAAAGCCAATATTGTCCATGGGTGGTACTTATACTACTGATCGTGAACCATCAGGTGATCCGTCTGCTCATTTGGTCAATAAAAGGTCTAACAGGTTAATATGGTAGGATCCTTTACTTATCCGCTCAATCTATAAGGTTATTTTGGAGACTTTGATAAGGGTCATGTACTTGGCTAGTACCGTATCGTTTTGCCATAGACAATAGACAGAC